CATCATCATCATCCTCATCCTCCTCATCATCATCATCATCATCATCATCATCATCATCATCATCATTAGCATCATCATCAGCATCAGCACCAGCATCAGCAGCAGCATCAGCATTAGCATCACAACCAACATCCTAATAATCATCGTCGTCGTCATCATCATCATCAACGTCGTCGTCATCATCTTCAAATGCATAATCTTCATCAGCAGCAGCACCGTCATCATCAGCATCATCATCATCATCAACAACAGCATCAGCATCATCAGCAGCATCAGCAGCAGCACCCGCATCAGCATCATCATCATCAGCAGCAGCATCATCATCACCACCATCATCAGCATCAGCATCATCGTCATCAACATCATCATGACCATCAGCAGCATGATCAACAACAGTCGTCATCATCATCATCATCATCATCATCATCATCATCATCATCATCATCATCATCGCTAGCGTCGTCATCATCGTCAGCATCGTCATCGACATCGTCAAGGTTATCATCATCACCACCAGCATCATCATCATCATGATCAGCGTCATCGTCATCATCATCATTATCAGCATCAGTTTCATCATCAGATCCCGCATCATCATCAGCATCATCAGCATCATCAGCATAGCCAGCATCATCAACAGCAGCAGCTTCATCATCATGATCCGGTTCATCATCTTCATCATCATCAGCAGCATCATCAGCATCAGCAGCAGTATCGTCATCATCAGCAGCATCATCAACAGCAGCATCAGCATCACCGTCAACAGCGTCAGAAGCATCACCCGCATCAGCATCATGATCAGCATCATCATCATCAGCCTCACCATCGTAATCATCATCAACATCAGCATCAGCATCACCATCAGCATCACCAACAAGAGTCAACATCATCATCACCATCATCACCAGCATCGTCATCATCATCAACATCGTCATCGACATCGTCAAAGTCATGGTTACCGCCATGATAACTAGCACCACCATCATCATCATCAGCATCATCATCATGAGCTTCCTCAGATTCATCTTCAGCATCAGCATCATCATCAGCATCATCACCATCAGCGGCATCCTCAGCATCATCATCATCATCATCAGCAGCAGCAGCACCATCATCCTATCCTCCCCTCCTCTCCTTTCCCCATCCTCCTCCGTTGCCTCCTCCTCATCATGATCAGCATCACCACCACCACTACAACATTATCATTACCCTGCTCACTGTTCTTACCCATCCTCCCCGTATTACCTCCCTCCTCCGCATCCTCCTCCTTCTCCCGGCCCCCCCCCCCATCCTCACTCTCCCTCCCGCCTCTGCATTCAGCATCGTATCCGCGTCATCGTCATTGTCGGCATCATCACCATCGTCATCGTCATCGCCAGCGGCATCATCAGCATCAGCCTCGTCATCATCAGCATCCTCAGCATCGGCATCATCAACATCATCATCATCATCATCATCATCATCATCATCATCATCATCATCATCATCATCATCGTCACCATCATCAGCATCATCGCCAGCATCGGCACCATCATCAGCATCGTCATCGACGTCATAAGCATCAGCAGCAGCATCATCATCATCATCATCATCATCATCATCATCAGCATCATCATCATCACCAACATCAGCATCAGCAGCATCATCATCATCATTAGCAGCATCAGTATCAGCACCATAGTACCATCATCAACATGATCAGCAGCACTATCAGCATCCGCATCAGCATCATCAGCATCAGCATCATCACTAGCCTCATCATCAGTATCAGCATCCGCGTCGTCATCATGAATCAGCATCCGCATCATCATCATCAGCATCAGCACCATCATCAACGGCAGCATCACTATCATCAGCATCGTCATCAGTAGTACCATGGGCATCTTCATCATCGTCAGCAATATCATCATCAGCATCATCAGCAGCATCAGCAGCAACAGCATCATCATGATCATGATCATGATCATGATCATGATCATGACCATGATCATCATCATCATCATCATCATCATCATCATCATCATCATCATCATCATCATCATCATAAGCATCGTCGTAAAGCTCGTCCTAGTCCTCCTCCTCATCCTCCTCCTCCCCATCATCCTCGTCATAATCAGTATCATCATCGTCGTCATCGTCGCTAGCATCGTCGTCAACGTCGTCGTCATCATCATTGCCATCATCGTCGGTATCATCGTCGGCATCGTCGGCACCATCATCAGCATCATCATCAACATAGTCGTCGTCGACATCATCACTATCAGCACCATAACCAGCATCATCATCAGCATCATCACCATCGTCATCATCATGAACATCAGCATCCTCACCATCGTAATCATCATCCTCATCCGCATCATCATCATCATCAACATCAGCAGCATCATCATCATCATCAGCATCATCATCCGCATCATCCGCATCATCCGCATCACCATCATCAGCATCATGAGCATGGTCGGCGTCGTCGGCCTCGTCGTCATCAGTGCCGTCGTCGTCGTCCTCGGCGTCGGCATCATCATCGTCATTATCATCGTCATCGGCATCGCCATCGCCATCGTCACCGCCATGGTCATTAACACCACCACCATCAGCATGATCGTCATCACCACCACCACCGCCACAATCACGACCCTCCTCTTCTTCAGCATCATCATCACTATCATCACAGCGTTACCATTACCCTGCTCGCTGCTCGTACCCCTTCCTCCCCGTGGTATCCTCTCCCTCCTTCTCCTCACCCCCCCCCACCCCACCCCTCCACCCCACCCCACCACCCAATCCCTTCCCTCTCCACCACGCCTTTACATTCAACATCTTATACGCTTCATCGTCGTTGCTATCAGCATCGTCATCGGCAGAAGCAGCAGCAGCAGCATCATCATTATCATCATCAGCATCATCATCATCATCATCAGCCTCAGCCTCAGCGCCATCATCCGCATCAGCATCAGCAGCGTCATCGTCGTCATGGGCGTTGTCATCGTCGTCACCGTTGTAGTCGACATCACCGCTGTCGTCATCGTCATCATCACGGTCGTCGCAGTCGTCGTCATTGTCATCGTTAGCATGATCACAACGGTAACCACCACCACCATCAGCAACATCGTCATCATCATCGGCGCCGTCATCGTCAGCATCATCATCAGCAGCATCATCATCAGCATCAGCATCAGCATCAACATCAGCATCATCATCATCAACAGCATCATCGCAATCACCACCACCAACAGCAGCGCCATCATCATCAGCATCAACACCGGCATCATCACCACAACTATCATCATCAGCAGCATCAGCATCATCAGCATCACCATCATCATCAGCATCATCAGCATCATCATGTGCATCATCAGCATCAGCATCATCAGCATGATCAGCATCACCATCATCGTCATCATCATCATCACTATCATCAGCCTCATCATCAGAATCAGCATTGTCATCGTCATAATCATCGTCATCATCATCAGCATCATCATCGTCGGCGCCATGGCCGTCGTCGCCGCCACCGATCAGCGTCATCATCATTATTAGCAGCAGCAGCAGCACCAACATCATCACGATCAGCATCATCACCGTGATCATCATCAGCATCATCATCACAATCGTCATCATCAACGTTGTCATCAGAATCAGCATCAGCGTCATCATCAGCAACGTCATCGTCCTCGTCATCGTCATCATCAGCATCATCAGACTCAGCATCATCATCGCCATCACCATCACCAGCATCATCATCATCATCATCAGCAGCATCATCATCACCACCACCATCATCATCATCCTCATTATCAGCCTCAGCCTCGGCATCGCCATCATCATCATCCGCATTATCATCAGCATCATTATCGGCATCGTCAGCACGATGATCATCATCGTGATGATACTGGAGAAAACCCAAAGCATAATCTTTTTAGGGCTTTAGGGCTATGGGGCTCTAAGGCTATACGGCTAGAAGGCTATGGGTCTATAGGGCTACAGGGCTACAGGGCCATAGGGCTATAGGGCTATTTGGCTATGGGGTTATGGGGCTGTAGGGCCATAGGGCTATAGGGTTATAGGGCTATAGGGCTATAAGGCTATAAGGCTATGAGGCTATAGGGCTATTAGGGCTATAGGGCTCCAGGGCTATAGGGCTATATAGAGCTACCGGGCACCTGGGCACCAGGGCACCTGGGCACCCAGGCACCTGGGCATACGGGCACCCTGGCACCTGGGCACCCGGGCACCCGGGCACCCAGGCACCCAAGCACCCGGGCACCCGGGCACCCCCGGGCACCCCTGGGCACCCCCGGGCACCCAGCCGCCGGCCACCACATCGGCGCCGCACCTCACCTAACCATATGAATCCGCTGGATTCCTACAGAGACAAGCTCTGTTTGGGGAACGATCATCATCATCATCATCATCATCATCATCATCATCATCATCATCATCATCATCATCATCATCATCATCATCATCATCATCATCATCATCATCATCATCATCATAATCATCATCATCATCAGCAGCAGCAGCAGCATCATCAGCATTATCTCATCATCATCATCATCATCATCATCATCATCATCATCATCATCATCATCATCATCATCATCATCATCATCATCATCATAATCATCATCATCGTCATCGTCATCGGCATCGTCATAGCTGTCGTCATCCACATCATCATCATCATCATCATCATCATCATCATCATCATCCTCATCATGGTCTTCGTCATCATCATCATCATCATCATCATCACCATCATCACCATCATCATCATCGTTGTTATCGTCTTCATCATCATCAGCATTATGCGCATCAGCATCATCATGGTCTTCGTAGTCATCATGATCAGCATCAGCACCATCGTCTTTGTCATCATCTCTACCATCATCATCATCATCATCAACATCAGCATCATCATCGGCACCAGCATCGTCGTCATCATCGATATCCCTGCATCTAGCACCAAAGTGGGCAGGGCGGCGGCGGCGACGAGCGGCCTGAAGGCACTCCACCTTCTTGGTGGCCGCGTTGTAAAAGAGGCCGAACGCGTCGCCGCCGATGCCCGTGGAGCACGGCTGCACGCGGAGAAATAATAAGAAGACAGAAACGTAGTTCACGAAATGGGCAACCAAGGGCGCCACGATGGCCCCAAGGGGGCCGAAGAGACCTCCAGGAAGGACCCAGGAGGGCCCTGCAATGGCCCAAAGAGGCCCGGACCGCTCACTCTCTCTCCCCTTCCCCACTTCCCCCCTCCCCCATCCTCCCCCTTTCATGTTTCTCCTCCTCCTCCTCCTTCTGCTCCTCCTGCTCCACATCCCACTGTCAATCAATGTCGTTTGCTGCCTGTTGCGAATAGGGTCGGCGACGCCGGCAGCAAGGCCTTCGCAATAAGCAACCACCTGTGGGCCCTACCCCTGCAGGTCAGATTTCTGAAAAGCCGGCTTGAGCTCAGAATTCGAAGGAAGGTGAACCCCAGCGGGTGCGTCTAATACCCTCGCGTCGATTGAATCCGCAGGGGAAGGATTCGCAAGTGGCCGCAAAAACTAAAAAAAATCTCAGCGTGTGGACTCCCAAACAGCTCACTCGCCCATCCAGAGGCGGTCATCCCAATGTGTGCACGTTCGTGCAGACCCCATGCGTGTGGGACATGGAACCCATTTCGCATGCAAGCCGTGCGTGTGGAACCCCATGAGTGCAGCCCCGCTTGCGAGTGGAACCTAATGAATGTGATGTGTGGTGTGTGTGTGTTGTATGCTGTGTGCCGTGTGTGGTGTGTGTGCTGTGCATTGTGTATATTGTGTGTTGACTTTGTTGCGTGTGCTGTGTGTTGTGGATTATGTGTGTTGTCGTGTTGTGTGGTGTGTATGTTGTGTGTATTGTGTACGCTGTGTGTGTTGTGTGTGCTGTCTGTGCTGTGTGTGGTATGTGCTGTGTGTTTGTGTTGTGTGTTGTGTGGTGTGTGGTTTGTGTTGTGTGTGTGGATTGTGTGTTGTGTGCTGTGGATTGTGTATGTTGCGCGGTTGTGTTGTGTATGGTGTGTGTTGTGTGGTGTGTTGTGTTTCCTGTGCGTTGTGTGCGTTGTGTGCGTTGTGTGTTGTGTGTGATGTGTTGTGTGTTATGTGTGTGCTGTGTGCGGTGTGTCCTGTATGCTGTGTAGTGTACGCTGTGTGTTGTGTGTTGTGTGGTATGTGTTGTGTGTTGTTTGCTGTGTTGAGTGTGTGTTGTGTGTTGTGTGTTCTGTGGTGTGTGTTGTGTGGTGTGTAATGTGTGTTGTGTGTGTTGTGTGTGTTGTGTGTTATGTGTTGTGTGTGTGTTGTGTGACGTGTGTGTGTTGTGTGTTGTGCGTATTGTGTATTGTGTGTTGTGTGTGATGTATACTGTGCGGTGTGTGTGTGCTGTGTGTTGTGTGGTGTGTTATGTGTTGTGTGTTGTGCGAGTGTTGTGTGTGTTGTGTGTGTGTCTGTGGGCGTCTGGGTGTGCCTGTGCCTGTCTGTGTGTGTCTGTGTGAGTCTATGCGTCTGTACGTGCCTGTGAGTGCCTGAGTGTGTCTGTGTGTTTGTGGGTGTGTCTGTGTGTGTCTGCGTATGTCTGTGTGTGGCTGTGTGTGTCTGTGTGTATGTGTATATGCGTACGTGTGCGTTTGTCTGTGTCTTGTGCCTGTGTGTCTGTGTGTCTGTGTGCGTGTGTGTGAGTGAGTGTGTGTGTGTGTGAGAGTGAGTGAGGGAGTGAGAGGGTGTGAGTAGGTGAATGCGTGTGGTTGTGTGTGCGTGCGCGTCTTCCTCCCGCCCGCGACGGGTCTTCTCCCTCCTCCTCACGTGCACCGCGGCTTAATTAGAAAGTGTAGGCCCTACATTTGCCCCATCCGCCAGTGCAGTCACTCGCCTAGCCGCCGACGCAAAAAGCGTGCGTGTGTGCATGTGTGCGTGTGTGTGTGTGGGTGCGTGCGTGTGTGTGTGCGCGCGTGTGCGTGTGCGTGTGCGTGTACGTGTACGTACGTGCGTGCGTGCGCGGGTGTGTGTGTGTGTGCTGCGTGCTGTGTGGTGTGTGTGTTTGGTGTGGTGTGTGGTGTGTGGTGTGTTGTATGCTGCGTGCTGTGTGCGTGTGCGTGTGTTGTGTGTGGCGTGTGGTGTGCTGTGTGTTGTGTGTTGTTGTGTGTTGTGGGGGGTGTGTTGTGTGCTCTATGGTTTGTGTTGCCTGTGGTGTGTGGTGTGCTGTGCGCGGCGTGTGAGGTGTTGTGTGTTGTGTGTTGTCTGTGTGCGAGTGTGCGCACACCAGCATTGCCTCCCACGAAGCGGGCCCGATCGACGACGATGGTGCCCCCCTCAACCATGGAGAACCCCAGGGCCGCCCCGTCACAAGTGATCGTCCTGAACCCACCGCCTGGCGCTGCCCCCATTCATCGTGGACGACACAATCGCCAAGCACCCTATCCTTAGGTCGGGCATGTCCTCCTACAGGCTGATTTTGGACGAAAACTTGTGCTGATGGAGTTCCCCACATAAGGATGGTGAGGGCTTCGTGGAGTCAACGAGGCAAAATAATAGCAATACGAATGGAAGGGCCATCGCGAAGGTACGTGCGAAAGAAAGGGCAGACGAAGGCAAGGAGGAGGAGCAGCAGGGAGGGAGACGAAGGCTGCTCAGGAAGCACGTTCGTCCCTGGAGGAGTGGGAGGGGCACGAAACGTGATACATAACATGGGTTGCGAATCTCCTCCTCGCTCAGGCGGGGCCTCCCTGGCGAATGGGAGGGGCACCAAATCTGACAAATAACATGGTTCGCGAATACGCACGAAACCTGCTAAATAGCATGGTGTGCGAATACCCTCCTCGCTCAGGCGAGGCCTCCCTGGACGAGGGAGGGCACGAAACCTGACAAATAACATGGCTTGCTAATACCCTCCGCGCTCAGGTGGGGCCACACTGGAGGAGGGGGGTGGGCACGAAACCTGACAAATAACATGGTTTGCGAACATCCTCTTCGCTCAGGCGGGGCCTCCCTGGAGGAGTGGGAGGGGCACGAAACCTCATAAATAACATGGTTTGCGAATATCCTCCTCGCTCAGGCGGGGCCTCCCTGGAGGAGAAGGGGGGGGGCACGAAACCTCACAAATAACATGGGTTGCGAATATCCTCCTCGCTCAGGCGGGGCCTCCCTGGAGGAGTGGGGGGGCATAAAACCTGGCAAATAACATGGTTTGCGAATATCCTCCTCGCTCAGGCGGGGCCTCCCCGGAGGAGTGGGAGGGGCACAAAACTTGACAAACAACATGGTTTGCGAATACCCTCCGCGCTCAGGCGGGGACTCCCTGGCGGAGTGGGAGGGGCACGAACCCTTACAAATGACATGGTTTGCGAATACCTTCCGCGCTCAGGCGGGGCCTCCCTGGAGGAGTGGAAGGGGCACGAAACCTTATAGATAGCATGGCTTGCGAATACCCTCCGCGCTCAGGCGGGGCCTCCCTGGAGGAGTGGGAGGGGCACGAAACCTCATAAATAGCATGGTTTGCGAATACCCTCCTTGCTCAGGTGGGACCACACTGGAGGAGTCGGAGGGGCACGAAACGTGATAAATAACATGGTTTGCGAATATCCTCTTCGCTCAGGCGGGGCCTCCCTGGAGTGGGAGGGGCACGAAACCTGATGAATAGCATGGTTCGCGAATACCCTCCTCGCTCAGGCGGGGCCTCTCTGGAGGAGGGGGAGTGGGAGTGGCCTCCCTGGCGTGGCCTCCCTGGAGTGGTAGGTATTGGCATGGTATGGTCTGGTCTGGTCTGGTCTGATATGGTACGGTATGGTGCATGGCATGGCATGGCATGGCATGGCATGGTGTGGTGTGGTGTGGTGTGGTATGGCATGGTATGGTATGGTATGGTATGGTATGCTATGCTATGCTATGCTATGGTGTGGTGTGGTGTGGTGTGGTGTGGTATGGTATGGTATGGTATGATATGGTGTGGCATGGTATGGTATGGCATGGCATGGCATGGCATGGTCTGGTATGGTATGGTATAACATGGCCTGGCATGGCATGGCATGGCATGGTATGGCATGGCATGGTATGGTATGGTAGATGGTATGGTATGGTATGGTATGATATGGTATGGCATGGTATGGTATGCTATATGTATGTGTATGGTATTGGTATGGTATTGGTATGGTATGAGATGGTAGGTATGGTAGAGGAGGAGGCGGAGGTGGAGGAGGAGTAGAAGAGAGGAGAAGGAGAGAGAGGCAGAGGAGAAGGAGAGGGTGTTCCAGGAAAGCAAAACCCCACTCTGGATGTGGGGGGTAGAAGATTGCCAACAAAATCAAGAGTAGTAAACAAAGCACGAAGAATCGTCGCGAGAAATGCCCGCCTTAACCCTGTCTCTGCTGCGACGACTGCTGGGGAGGGCCCCCTCCGCCCCGTGTCGGCCACACGGCACGCCCCCCCACCGAGGGCCTCTCCGTGCCCCGCAGAATTTCTGTTTTGGGCTGCACCGTCGTGGGATGCCAAGTGCTGCCTGGCCCTCCCGCCCGAAGCGCTGCGCGGCACGAGCCCGAGGCTTCCTGGGCCCCAACGCCTCTCCGGGGGCTCCTCCGAAGCTCTCGGGAGAGCTCCCAAGGGCGGCCGAGGCAGGCCTCCAAGGCCGTCCGGGTGGCCCAAGATGCCTCCAAGACGGCCAAGATGGCCCCAAGACGGCCACAAGACAACTCAAGAGGCCCTCAAGACGGCCCCAGAGCGCATCAAGAGGGCCCCGGGAGGGCCCCAGGAACCCCAAATCATGAATCCCCAGTGGATGTTCAAATAATGGTCGCGTTCTCACTTGTTCAGGCTTCCGTCAGCCAAGAGGCCTCCAAAACAGCCCAAGGAGACCCCAAGACAGCCTAAGAGGTCCCAAAGACGACCCCCGAGGGCCCCGCCAGGGCCTCACAACAAACCACGTGCGTCCCAGAGACGAGCTCCGCAGGCGCCAGACGGCCCAGGAGCGCGCCAAGACGGCCCACGGAGCCCTCAAGAGGCCCCGAGAGGTCCCACAGGAACCCCCCAAAGGCCTCCAAGACGGCCCCAATAGGCCCCCAAGAAAGGAGGGAAGAGGAGGAAGAGAGGAACACGACAACGAGCACGAGGAGAGACACCCCAACACGAAGCGAAAGAGCGTGTCACAGTGTGCGGCTCTACCAGGCCTCGGGGCACGAGGTGACACGCGTTACGGCTTCCTGCGCGTTCCTCGAACAGTTGTCACCCAGAGCGCTGGGCTGGCACGGCGGCGGGACTTTCCGCTGGCAGTTGGATAGATGATGCGTAGATGCAAAAAGCATACACATACGCAGATACACCAACACAATGCACGCACGCGCATTACAATCTGATGAGCGAAACTGGAATAATGAACATATGAGATGAGGGGGAGACCGAAAACCACAGATGGGGAACGGCTTAACCTTCAGCTTTAGTTTTTCTTATAATATAAAACTGCACATGAGCTCTTCATCGTCTGACAAGGCCTCCACCGCAATCGTCTACCCTCCTCCGCGTCATCCCGCTCGTCCTCAACGTGAGATTCGTCAGCTTCCTCCTCATCCTCCTCCTCCTCCTCATCCTCCTCCTCCTCCTCCTGAGCCGTCTCGGGGCCCTCTGGAGCGCATCTGGTTCCCTTCTCGGAGGGTCGCGGGGGCTTCTGGAGACATGCTGAAGCACTTTGGGGCCGTCACCAATCTGCTGGAACCCCGCAGGGCGGTCTTGGACCAGTCTGGAGGACATCTTCAGCCGTCTGGAAGCCCTCGGAGCCCCGCTGAGGAGGCCAGGGGCGCACATGCCAACTGGTGGCAGCCATCCAGGCCCCTTCCCCGACAATCCCACGCTCGGAGGACGATGACAAGAAAGAGGAAGAACGGGAGGAGAAGGAAGAAAATGAACAGGTGGGACGGCTGCCCCTCCCAAGACCGCCGGGGGGCGTTTGGGCTTGAATTTCTGGATGTGTCCAGTCGTGGCCACGAGAGGGTACCCTGAAGGCCCAGAAGATTCAGAAACGTCTGACAACTCCTTTGGACCGTCTCGGAGCAACAAATTCCCCAGATGTAGTCGAGGTCCTGGCCCAGGGGGGGGGGCACAGGGCGTCTTGGAGGCCTCTTCGAGCCTCTTGGAAGCGCTGTCGGGGGCCTCTTGGGGGCAGTTTTAGGACCTCTTGGGAGCCTCATGGTGGCTTCTTGGGGGCCTATTGGGGCCTCTTGGGGGCCTCATGTCCGTTCAGGTCCCCCTATCTGGGCCCCCTCTTGGAGCCGTCTTTGGGGCCTCTTGGGCGTTTGGGCGCCTGTTGGTCCGTCTTGGGAGCCTCTTGAGCCATTTTTGGACCCTCTTGGATGCCTCTTTGGCCGTCTTGGAGCGACATTGCGGGCCTCTAGGGCCGTCTTGGAGCGTCGGGAAGCCGAAACGGCGAGAAAGCAAAAAAAAAAAAAACCTAAAACCCAAGGACAACTAATGTTTTGGTCTCTTGGGGCCCTCTGGGGAGGCCACTTGGAGGCCTGTTGGGGCGTCTTGGAGGCCTCTTGGCCTTCTGGGGGCCGGCATAGGCCGTCTTGGTGGTCTCGAAGCGCGTCTGCAGGCAAGTCGGGGCGGTCTTCGGGCAATCTTGGAGGGCCTCCGGCGCGCCAGCAGGGCCCCGGGCAGCCTGGTCCACACACTTGTGGTCGAAGGCCCTGCCCCGATGTGTATGAAGCAGCGCAGTGGAAAAAGAGATGGGCGAGAGGGGTCGGGGTTGGATGTCAAAGATGGCGCGACCGCACCTAGATTGTCGTATCCTCTTTCCTCCGTCCTCCCTCCTCCGTCTCCCTCCCCCTTACTTCAGCTCCCGGCTCAAGATGAGGACGGAGGCAGGCCACGCAGAAGGAACAGGGGGCAAGGACGCAGCGTCCCGTCGACACCACCGCGCCACACCCGCCAGATGGCCAGCACTTCGGCCCGCCGTCCTTCTCCTCCTCCTCCTCCTCCTCCTCCTCCTCCTCCTCCTCCTCCTCCTCCCCCATCCTCCGCCTCCTCTTCCATCCTCCGCCTCCGCCTCCTCCTCCTCCTCCTCCTCCTCCTCCCCTCCTCCTCCTCCTCTCCTCCTCCTCCTCCTCCTCCACCACCTCTCCTCCTCCTCCTCCTCCTCCTCCTCCTCCTCCTCCTCCTCCTCCTCCTCCTCCTCCTCCTCCTCCTCCTCCTCCTCCATTCCTTCTCCTTATCGATAACTCCTCCCTGTCGCACCCCGAGGCCAGTTTTTAGGGCGGGCCGGGCGTTTCGCCTGAGACTTCCCCACCATTTATGACTCTGAAGCTAAAAAATGACAAGAGCTTCACGGATGGAGGGCGAGTGATGTTCAAAATGTGGCTCTCGCCTTAACGCCGCGCACATTCGTTTTTCACGAATTGAAGGCGGGTCGCTTTCAAGATGTGGCTCTCGCCTTAGGGACACGCACATTCGTATAAAAAAATGCAGGAGCTTCACGGATTGAGGGCGGGGCGTTTTCAAAATGTGGCCCTCGCCTTAGCGCCGCGCACATTATTTATGTTATAGAAAAACTTGCAAGAGTTTTACGGATTGAATGCGGGTGGTTTTCAAAATGTGGCTCTCGCCTTGGCGCCGCGCACATTGGTTTAAAACAGTTGCAAGAGTTTCACGGATTCAGGGCGGGTCGTTTTCAAGATGGGGTTATCGCATTTAGCGCCGCGTACATTCGTTTTAAACATTTGCCAGAGCTTCACGGATTCCCATGGACAACGTACCCCAAGAAAGTGTTTTGGAAGCATTCATGATTATGCGGGTGCAACAGTTAGGTTGATTCGCGGTGTTGAAATCAAAAAATGGCGTTATGGCACGATTCCAGATCGCCAAAACGCAGCAGTCAGGTCGATACGTGGCGTTGGAATCCCGAGAACAATGTTTTAGCATGCTTCAGGATCTTCAAACGGTTGTCTTCCAACAAGGTAGCTCCCTCTATGGAAATGAACCGTTCTAGGGGCCAATGAAGAGGGAGTTTGGAGGGAGGGTTGACTTCAACATCGTCGATGACTCTTGGGTTTACACTGGTCTTCCTCCTCCTCCTCCTCCTCCTCCTCCTCCTCCTCCTCCTCCTCCTCCTCCTCCGCCTCCTCCTCCCCTCCCCCTCCCCCTCCCCCTCGCCCTCGCCCTCCCCCTCCCCCTCGCCCTCCCCCTCCCCTCCTCCTCCTCCTCCTCCTCCTCCTCCTCCTCCTCCTCCTCCTCCTCCTCCTCGTACTCCGCGTTTTCCTCGTATTCCTCCTCCTCCACCTCCACATCCTCCTCATCCCCTCCTAAGAAGCCGACAACGGCCTCGGTGACGTTCAGCGCTGCCGCCGCCGCAACGCACGCGTCTGCCGCGGTGCCGCCCGCCTGCAGGTGGGCGAGGCGGGACGGGGCGCGCGGCGAGGTGAAGCGATGGAGGCTCCTCCTCCTCCTCCTCCTCCTCCTCCTCCTCCTCCTCCTCCTCCTCCGCCTCCTCCGCCTCCTCCGCCTCCTCCGCCTCCTCCTCCTCCTCCTCCTCCTCCTCCTCCTCCTCCTCCTCCTCCTCATCCTCCTCCTCCTCGTTAGCATCCTCCCCATCCTCCTCCTCCTCCTCCTCCTCCTCCTCCTCCTCCTTCCTCCTCCTCCTCCCCTCCTCCTCATCCTCCTCCTCCTCCTCCTCCTCCTCCTCCTCCTCCTCCTCCTCCTCCTCCTCCGCCTCCTCCTCCTCCTCCCCTATCCCATTCGGGGGCCCAGTGGGAAAAAATGCAGCGCCCAGATCTCAGGGGAAGGCGGTGACGACGGCGGCGGCGACGGCGGCGGCAACGACGACGGCGGCGGCGGTGCGGGGCAGCGCGCGCGCGCGCGCCAAGCCTGCAAGATGCGCATGCCAGCCTCACTGGCCAAGGGCTGGCTGGTGGCCACCTGCGGCCCGCCCCTCGGCGGCGGCGGCGGGCGGGGCAACGACGGCAACGACGGCAACGGCAACAACGACGACGACGACGACGACGACGACGACGACGACGACGACGACGACGACGACGACGACGACGGCGGCGGCGGCGGCGGCGGCGGGGGCGGATTGATCCCACTATAAACCTCGTGGCCAGTCTCTGCACCGATGGATTCAGCGATCGATCTCATTTTCCCCTGCAGACCAGACGCATTGGGAAGAAAAATTGGCCTTGTGAAGGACCCAACCATATGCAGCAGTGAGTACCGCAGTCGTGACTATCATTTTCGATGGGGCTCCCTATGGGGCCACGATCCTCGTGCGGGGTGCGCCGAACTAGGGCGGGGCCGCCATGCAACCTTTCCCACTGGGGCCTCTGGTGGAGCTCCCTATGGGGCCACGATCCTCGTGAAGGGTGCGCCGAACTGGGGCGGGGCCGCCATGCAACCTTTCCCACTCGGGTCTTCGGTGGAGCTCCCTATGGGGCCACGATCCTCGTGAGGGGTGCGCCGAACTGGGGCGGGGCCGCCACGCAACCTTTCCTACTGGGGCCTTCGGTGGAGCTCCCTATGAGGCCACGATCCTCGTGAACGGTGCGCCGAACTGGAGCGGGGCCGCCATGCGACCTTTCCCACCAGGGCCTTCGGTGGAGCTCCCTATGGGGCCACGATCCTCGCGAGGGGTGCGCCGACCTGGAGCGGGGCCGCCATGCAACCTTTCCCGTTGGGGCCTTCGGTGGAGCTCCCTATGGGGCCACGATCCTCGTGAACAGTGCGCCGAATTGGGGCGGGGCCGCCGTGCAACCTTTCCCACTGGGGCCTTTGGTGGAGCTCCCTATGGGGTCACGATCCTCGTGAGAGGTGCGCCGAACTGGAGCGGGGACGCCATGCAACCTTTCCCACTGGGGCCTTCGATGGGGCTCCCTATGGGGCCACGAACCTCGTGATGGGTGCGCCGAAACGGGGCGGGGCCGCCATGCGAACTTTCCCACTGGGGCCGTTGGTGGAGCTCTCTGTGGGGCCACGATCCTCGTGAAGGGTGCGCCGAAATGGGGCGGGGCCGCCATGCAACCTTTCCCACTGGGGCCTTCTGTGGAGCTCCCTATGGGGCCACGATCCTCGTGAGTGGTGCGCCAGGCGATCTATGGGTGCAATTGGGCCGTCTCGGGCCGTCGGAAGGCAGAATCATCCTGGCGAAGGACCCAACCATACGCAAATATGAGAACCGCAGGGCAGGTGGGACGAAGAAAGGGGAATTCCCAATGGCGCCACGAACCGTGTGAGGGGTGCGCCAAAATGGGGCGGGGCCGCCATGCGAGCCCTGCCACTGGGGCCTTCGGTGGAGCTCCATATGGGGCTACGAACCGTGTGAGGGGTGCGTCAAAATGAGGCGGGGCCGCCATGCGAACCCTGCCACTGGGGCCTTCGGTGGAGCTCCCTATGGGGCCACGAACCGTGTGAGGCGAGCGCCAAAATGGGGCGGGGCCGCCATGCGAACCCTGCCACTGGGGCGTTCGGTGGAGCTCCCTGTGGGGCCACGAAACGTATGAGGGGTGCGCCAAAATGGGGCGGGGCCGCCATGCGAACCCTGCCACCGGGGCCTTCGGTGGAGCTCCCTATGGGGCCACGAACCGTGTGAGGGGTGCGCCAAAATGGGGCGGGGCCGCCATGCGAACGCTGCCACTGGGGCCTTCGGTGGAGCTCGCTATGGGGCCACGAACCGTGTGAGGGGTGCGCCAAAATGGGGCGGGGCCGCCATGCGAACCCTGCCACTGGAGCCTTCGGTGGAGCTCCCTATGGGGCCACGAAGCGTGTGAGGGTGCGCCAAAATGGGGCGAGGCCGCCATGCAAACCCTGCCACCGGGGCATTCGGTGGAGCTCCCTATGGGGCCACGAACCGTGTGAGGGGTGCGCCAAAATGGAGCGGGGCCGCCATGCGAACGCTACCACTGGGGCCTTCGGTGGAGCTCCCTATGGGGCCACGAACCGTGTGAGGGGTGCGCCAAAATGGCGCGGGGCCGCCATGCGAACGGTGCCAAGGGCGCCTTCGGTGGAGCTCCCTATGGGGCCACGAAACGCTGTACTGGGTGGGTGAAACGCAGGGAGGAAGGAGGAGGAGAAGGAAGCGGGGGAGGAGGAGAGGAGAGGAGGAGGAGGAACGCGGGGCGACGTCTCTTCAAAACGAAGACCCAACACCACAGGATGGTTGGAAAAAAACAAATGCCACAATCCTTCAAAAACACATAGGAAAATGTTGGTTTTTTTTCTGGCCTTCCTGGGGGCCCTTTTGGAAGCCTCTTGGACCGTCCTGGGCCATCTTAGGGCCATGTTCGGCTGTCTTGGTGGGCTCCTGGTCCGTCTGATGCCGTCGGAAGCCGCTTGGGGTCGCCATGCGAATTTTCCCACAGGGGCCTTCGGTGGAGCTCCCTATGGGGCCTTGAAACGCGCGAAGGGCGCGCCGAAATGGGCGCGGGAAGGAGGGGGGAGGAGGAGGAGGAGGAGGAGGAGGAGGAGGAGAGAGGAGGAGGAGGGAGGAGGAGGAGGAGGAGGAAGGAGAGGAGGAGGAGGAGGAGGAGGAGGAGGAGGAGGAGGAGGAGGAGGAGGAGGGAGGAGAGGAGGAGGAGGAGGAGGAGGAGGAGGAGGGGGAGAAGGAGGAGAAGAAGAGGAGGAGGAGAGGTGGGACGCGGGGCGCTGTCTCTTAAAAAAGAGGACCCAACACCCCAAGATGGCTGGGAAAAATTAGCGCGGCGAAAGACCCAGCCATGTGCAGTTGTGCGTACCGCAATTCTGAACATCACTTTCGCTCGCGCTCCCTGCGGGGCCACGAACCGCAAGAAAAAGCGCGCCGAAATGCGCGGCGGGGCCTACAGCACGAGCAAAAACGGCCGGCGTGAGTGCGAGAAACTGAGAACGCGCGACGTGAGCCTGAGCGGGAATGAGTCCGATTGTGAACGAATCCGCGCGCGAATCAGTCTACGCGCGTGAACGTCGACGCCCATGTCGGCACGCTCCTCACAAGGATCGCGCCGGCTTCTTTCCCTTTCTTTTTCTGCCCCTACGCCCGCGCACGCCGATGTCCACGGCGGCGGGCGCGGCGCCGCGCGGAGTCCCCATGACGCACGCCGGTCGCCCCGATGGGGTCCCGGCGACGCGCGCGGGTCGCCCGCTGCGCGGAGCAGCGAGAGCCAGTTGGCTTGCTGATAGTGGGCAAGGCTGTGGCCGACGGGCAGAGCGACGACGGGGGCGAGCGAAGCTCCGGGCAGAGCGCAGCGCGGAATTCCGGCGACGCGCGCCGGTCGCCCCGGGAGGGCCCCAGCGACGCGCGCGGGTCGCCCGCGGCGAGAGGCCAAACAGTCAGACCGTCGAGAGACGGCGAGGCTCGGCTGGGCCGCTCCTCAGGACAAGCCTCGCGGATAATCTCGGCGAAGACCAACTCCCTGGCGAAGGCCGTCGCCCCCCTTCTGCGCCGCTTCGTGCGCGCCGCAAACTGCTTCCAGGAAGGACTCGATGCGCGGCGCCCGCACGAGCAGGAGGTCCTCGTGGCGCGTGGCGCGCGAGAGCAGCACGTAAAGCTCCAGCCACCAGTCGTCGTCCTCCTTTTTGCCGTTCCCGACCTCGTGGCGGCCGCAGTCCAAGATCACGCCTGGGGTCCGAAAGCGGCCCCCGCGCGCCGAGGACGACGAACAACCTCCAAAGATCGTATGCGGACTCCGTCACTGGGCCACCATGCCAGATGCGCCACTGCGACCTTCGGTGGAGCTCCCCATGGCCCTATGGGGCCACGAACCGTGTGAGGGGTGTGCCGAACTGGAGCGGGGCCGCCATGCGAGTTCCGCCACTGGGACCTTCGGTGGAGCTCCCTATGACGAGTGCGCCGAAATGGGGCGGGGCCGCGATGCCAGCTGCTCCACTGGGACCATAGGTGGAGCTCCTTATGGGGCCACGAAACGTGTGAGGGGTGTGCCAAAATGGGGCGAGGCCGCCATGCGAGTTCCGCCGCGGGAACCTGAGGTGGAGTTCTCTATGGGGCCACGAAACGTGTAAGGGGTGTGCCACAATGGGGCGGGGCCGCCATGCCAGTTCTGCCACTGGGACCATAGGTGGAGCTCCTTATGGGGCCACGAAACGTGTGGAGGGTGTGCCAAAATGGGGCGGGGCCGCCACGCGAGCACCGCCGCTGGACCCTGAGGTGGGGCTCCCTATGGGACCACGCAACGCGTGATGGGGCACGCCAAAACAAGGCGGGGCCGCGAGCTCCTTATGCGGCCACGAACCGTGCGAGGGGCGTGGCAAAATGGGACAGGGCCGCCGTGCGAGTTCCGCCACTGGGACCTGAGGCGGAGCTCCCCATAGGGCCACGAGACGCTGCACTGGGCGGGTGGAACGCAAGGGGGAGGGAGGAGGGGGAGGAGGAGAGGAGGAGGAGGAGGAGGAGGAGGAGGGCCGCGGGGCACCGTCTCTTCAAAACGAGGATCCAACACCACAGGATGATTGGGAAATATCCTTCCGAAGGACCCAACCACATGCAATTGTGTCTACCGCAGTTGCGAGCCCGGCCTTCGGTAGAGCTCCCTATGGGGCCCTGAAACGCACGAGGGGTGCGCCGAAATGGGTGCTATGGCGCCACGCGAACCCTGACAACCGGGCCTTCGGTGGAGCCCCTATGGGGCAGCGAAGCGCGCGAGGGGCGCGCCGAAATGAAGCGGGGCCGCCATGCAAACTTCCCCACTGGAGCCTCCGGTGGAGCCCCTCATGGGGCCTTGAAACGCGCGAGGGGCGCGCCGAAAGGGCGCGGCGGCGCCGTGCGAATCCTGCCTCCAGGCCCCTCGGTGGAGCTCCTACGGGGCCGCGAAACGGGCGAGGGGCGAGCCGATATGGGGCGGGGCCGCCATGCGAACTTTGACGCTGGGGCCTTCGGCGGAGCTCCCCATGGGGCCACGATGCGCGCGAGGGGCGCGCCGATATGGGGCCGTGGGCCCCATGCTGCGAAGCGGGGTCGTAGTGCAATGATAACCGCGAGGTTGTATGTTAGCAGTGATACAACAATGATACCAATGATACCCGCAATGGATGGCGAAAGATGGTTGCTTAGAGGAACCTGACAAGGCAACTACCGACACGTCCAAGCTCAAGGGCCCTGAAAATGATTGAGCCCAAATGAGCACGGCAAAGGTCAGCACACTCTGCTTGCTTGCGGGCATGCTATGCTACACTGCTTACAGATCAGCGCGGACACTCATTAATTCACACTCGTGCAACATTGTCCTAGCATGTGCATCTCTGGTCTAGGGTCAGTTAGACGTGTTAAATCTCACGTCAACTAACTAAGCTGAAACCGAGCGCCCGATGCGCTCTATCCTGAAACCAGGCGGATGGCGCGCTTGAAAAGCGAGCCGGCACTGTTGACATGTGCCTCGTGCTCTCGGGCCTGGTCAGTTGGCTTCTGACGCTGCAGTGCGAGGCGTGCGTCTCGCAACACTGCCCTGATGGCACTGCCGTCAGATCGCTTGGCGAATTAATCCCCGAGCTGCTGGTCAGTCGCAACCCAAAAGAGAGGCAGCTGGCTGCGCTGATCGTCGGCAACGAATTCGTTACTGATCTCCTCTTCTAGTGATTCCTTGAGGCCTACTAGGTCTACCAAAAGGCGCCGCTCTGACGGGAGCTTGGAGCAACCGTCCTTGTGCATCGCATCGAACAAGCTAGCGCAATCTGTGACCTGAGCAAGCGGCAGCAAACTCGGTGGGACATCTTCCAGATGAGGATCCTGCATCTCCAGCGAAGCGAAAACACAGCGTGCGATCTGAGCACAGCCTAGTGCGTCTACCGGTGACATCGTCTCAGCTGCCAAAGTGGATCTGCAAACCCTCTCGCTGGTGCCCGATCGCCAATCAACGATTCCCGCTCGCGCCTTGTCGCCGCGCAACAGCTTAGCCTCGGCGATGAACGTCGCGTAGCCGGCCTGCGAGAGGATCTTGATATTATTGTCCTTGCTGCCCACGATCTTGGTGAGTAGCGTAGCTATGACACCTTCAGGTGGCTCGTCAGCAGTGGCCCAGCTGGCGCCGTGGTACGTGACCAGGCAAAGCGGTCCACGTAGCTTCGGGAATTCCAGTCCCACGTCCGCGTACTTCCGCGCCAGCTTGATGAGTCGATTCGTCGAGCAGGTCCTGGATGGTGGGCTTGTTCTGGGCGCGCTGTCCCATGGCAACTCCAGCTGACAGGTCTGGTCGAGTCTGCGATGAGAGCCATCCAAGCGCTTCGAGGGCGGAGCGGTGATCCGAAAACTCGGCTGGCGACGCCTCCGCCGACAGCTCCGTCTTGCGCTCCTTGCTGAACGCGATCTGGTCGATCGTGTTCGCGCACTCCGTCTGGCGTAGGTGTAGGACCCCCTCCTCATCGCGCCGCGCCTGCTTGCCACAAAAGGTGAATGGCAAGCCTCTCCAATCGCCCCACGGCAGGAGCTTGTAGAGCCGGTCGCACAGGCTCGGGCACTTGGGCGAGACGCCCAGCAGCAGGTCGTCCACGTGGGCGACCACCACAGCGCACAGCTTCCCGTGCTTGTCGCAGCCGTAGTACAGCGCTGGATCCAGCGAATGCTGGCGAAGGCGAAACACGTAGTCACCTAGCTTCTCCTCCACCGCAAGCAAGGTCCTTTTGAGCTTAGCCCACCAGTGTCGCGGTGCGGTGGCTAGCCCGAAGACTCCCTCGAGGATCTTGATCAGTTGCATCTGGTGCAGCCCAGGGCCCTCGCGGGGCTGAGCCATGCACAACTGCTGGTCGGGCTGCTCGTCGCCTTGCATGAGAGCCGCCTCCACGCACGCTGCGTAAATCTCCAGGTCGAACCTCTGGCAGATGGTGAAGAACAGCATAGTCGAGTTGCGGGTGACCGTAGGCGCGTCTGTGCGCAGGTCGCCCTGAGCGAGACGCGGGTCCATGTGACCCCCGACGCAGAGTCGGGCCTTGGCCTTGACTGGCAGCGGGTGCTCGTCGGTCCGCAGCGGCGCGTTCCTGTCCCGGTACACGAAAAGGCTGGGCAAGATGAGGTTGGCCTTGACCCTGGGACCCTGCCCCTGACCGCCTCGGACTCCTCGATGGTGAGCACCTGACAGGATCCGTGCATCTGCCACTCGCTCCACTGCTTGGCCGCCGCCTCTCGGTAGAGCTCCCTGTCGGAGTCCTTGATGGCCCTACAATGGATCTCCTTGTCGGCTTGCTTGCGCTTGATCCTCTCGGTGACGATGGAGGTCTGCATCGCTTCTCTGGGAGCCGACCTCGAACGCTCTCTAGCGCCCTCCGGCTCGCATCCGGCCGCTGCTCCGCCGCCGGGCGCGGCCGCCCGATCGCGCGAGGCTGCCCTCGGGGGCGGTACTCCAGAGCCCGCGTGCTCCTTGGCGGTCTGCAGGCGCATGGGGGCTGGGCCGAAATCGCCGCTGTCCGCCCCGTCGAAGGTCGCTCGCCGTCGTCGGAACTCGACGGGACCGCAGGGCTGCTCCTCCAAGGCCGACTGAGGCACGTCGGCTCGGTCGGCGGGCAGCACCTCGATCTGCTCCTGGGGCTTCGGGTCCTCAGGAACGTTCAGCCTCGGGTCGTCGTCGTCTGGGCTGTCGATGAAATCCCGCCACGCCTGCTCCATCTCGTCTGGCTGGACCTCGGGCTGGCCCGGCTCTGGGCGGATGTCCTCCACCGGGATCCTCCTGCTCGAGTGAACCGCGAGCCCCGTTGAGCTCGGCCACGGCCTGGCCGATCTCGCCCCGGCCGTTCGGGAACCAGACGTCGTCCGGAGCAAGCGCCTTGATATGCTCCGGGGCCACCAGCATGGTGCGCCCTTTCAGCGAGACCCAGGCGTCGTTGCTCTGGTGACCGATGACCACGCACGGCCCCCGCCAGATGCCCTTCTTGGCGTTGCGGTTGTGCTGCTCCTTCTCCCCCTTCTTGACTTGGCGGAAAATGTAGCACATCTCGCCCACTGACAAGGGCGTGGCCACGATGCGCGCGCGAGCCAGCATCGCTCGTCTGAGCTGGTCGTCGTTCTGCATCCGCATGAACGACTCGCGCGCCGCCGTCCGAATAGCAAATCGGCGGCGAATATTCTCGTCATTGGTGGCGAGGCTGCGGGCGCTGAAATTGGCCGCGTCGCCCACCAGGTCGGCGGGCATCTTGGGGTCGCGCCCCAGCACCCACTGCGCGGGGCTGAAGCCGGCCCGCCTCCTCAGCGAGTTCTTCGCGCCCGACGCCATGATGCCCAGCGCCCGCATCTCGTCTTCGCCCCTGATCGACGAGTGCTCGATCGCCCCTGCAGCGAGCTCCTTCCACCAGGCCCCCTGACGTTCCACTCGACCGAGCTGCCGGTGGGCCTGTCCAGCGATAGGCAGCTGCACCGTGTCGAAAGACTGGAACAGCTCGCTGAGAACGCCGCCGAAACCCCTCTCCATGTCGAAGTAGACTCGGTCCGGGACGCCGGCCCAGGAGGCCCAGCACCTCTCGAAGGCCGCAGCGAACTCCTGGCTGGCGCGGCGACCGAACAGCGTCGCGACGTGGAAGGTAGTGGCCAAGTCGACGATGCTGAAGTACCAGTAGATCTCGCCGTCGACGTCCTTGAGCTCGAAGCAATCGAAGCCCAAGTCGTCGCCGAAATCCTGCACGGAGTGGGGGCGCGCTGGCCCCCTTGCGCTCGGGCGCTGCTGCGAGCGGCACACTCCGCAGATCAGCCCCTTGACGGCCTGCACGGCGGCCGACTTAGCGCCCTTGAGTCGCAGACTGCGGCCCAAGTCCCCATTAGACGGGTGGCCCAAGTTGACGTGGGGTCTCTTGAGCATGGCCAGCTCGGCCGGCTTGCAGCAGGCTGCTGCGTTCTTTGTGAAAGTAATCGCGCCGACCCCGACCCTGCCGCCCACAGTCTCGTCGGCCTCCACGTCGTGAGCGTCGGCGAAGTCGTCTCCGCCGCCCATGGGGCCTGGGCCCCCAATAGGCTCGCCCGTCTTTCCCAGGGGCGCGGCATCGTTCACGTAGGCGGCGGCCTGCCCCTTCAGCTCCGTCGCGACGAAGGGCGACGAGGAAGCGCCGCAGCCCACCTGGCAGGCGCAAGGAACACCCTGCTGGCGAACGATCTGCTCGACGACGCGCACCACCGCTCGGCAGAATTTGGCCGGGTAAACGCCAGACTTCCGCACCGCCAAGTTGTCCCCGAACGTCTGGTCGCGGCGCGCGTGGCTACCGGCGCGGCGTAGCCGCTCGAACTCCTTGTGGGTGACGAGCAGCTTGGAGGGGTGCTTGATGAGCCCCCCCGCCTTGCAGCGTCGAGCCCCGTACTCGCACATATCGCACCTCACCTGGTACACGCGCTTGTCGGCAAGTAGCTCCATCATGATGCGCCGCGCCCAGATCCAGCTGGTGGCCGGGTTCTCGATCATGGCGACGCCGCCTGAGTCGAGCTGAGACTTGAAGGGGGGCGCAGGCCAAGAAAAGGAATGGCCGCTCCGCGCCCCGCAGTCGCCGCAGCGCCTGCTTGCCCTGCGGCGCGCGGAAGTTGAGGTGCGCAATGTTCGCGCAGCAGGTGCAGGGTAGCTCGATCGACACGAACTTCGGCCTCGATGCGTAGCACCGCTCGTGCGTCATCTCCAGGTCCGTCTGATTGCGGAGGTCCCAGCCGTACTCACGGTCGATCACCTCAGCGGCTGTCACGTTGCGGCGCACTGCCGCCTCGGCAATACCGCCTTCGCCTCCGAACACCTGCATGACGTCCACGCCGTGGCTCCGGACTGCGTAGACCTCCTTAACGTTCCTCGCGTGGTCCGCCACGTCCTGCGCGGCGCTCGTCGCATACTGCGCGAACGGCTTGATAAGTTGGGACAACCAGTCCGCCGCGAGCACCGCCTGAAAAGCGAAGGCGCTCAGCAAGCCCGTGACCTGGTCGAGTAGGCCGACGCGCTTGCCCTTCTTGACGCCTGACCGCCGGCCCGAGGCTGGCGGCTGGCCCTGGCGGCCGCCGCCGCCCAGGCTCTGTCCGGCGGAGACGCCGCGTCCGTCTCCTGGTCGGTCTCCTCACCCGCCTTCTGGAAACCGCGGTCGCCGGTGTCCATCTCGTACCCCTCGACCGGCCTCGGGCGGCGGTGACCCGCCCAGCTGCCTCGGCTTGCTGAGGCCCGCTTGGTCGTCGCCGCCGGCGTCACCGACTCGTCGTCTAGGACCACCTCCTCGGCCATCACCGCCTCGATGGCGGTCTTGGCCTTCTCTGGCTCGAGCGGCTTCACTCCGTGAGCCTTGACCCACCTGCCGGAGCGCGCCAGAAGGGGGCTCGCCCGCCGTTGTCCAGCTCCAGCACCGCCCACCGCGCGTAGCCCAGGTCGTTCTTGAGCACCCAGCGGTAATCCGCGGTCGGGTACTTGCCGAAGCGCATCTTGTCGCCCCCCGTGATCTGCGAGCTTGGATGGGCCATGTTGCTCGAGGCGCCGCTGACCGCGTTCTCGACCTTCCAGCCCTTCAGGCGCTGCCTGAGCTTCGGCACGGTCGCGTGCTGGTCGAAGTCGATGTCCTTCATCCTGCACAACTCCTGGAGATCGTGCTTGTGCATCTTGCCGAGCCCGGGGGTGTCCTGCGCCTGCTTCTCCTGGCCCTTGGCCCTCAACGCGCGCAGGATGACTCGGAGCTGGTCGCACGTCGCGTCGCGCACATCCAACTCGTAGCTTGCCACCTCCGCCTGTAGGTCCCCCATCTGCATGCTGGAGATCGCCGGCAGGGGGGAAGTACTCGGCGTCGGCACGTTCGAGTAGCTGGCCTCCCGGTTCGTCGCCCTGGGAGATGTCGTGCATTTCCGCTGCGACGGGGGCATGAACGCGGGCCGCTGGTTCGCGAAAAAACAGCGGTGGCTGGACCTGCCACGGCACGCGTCGTAAAAGCTGCTGGAGCTCGCGATGAACTCAAGCCGGATGGCTGCGGCGATGATGCCGTTTGATGACTCCGTGCTGATGGCTGGCCTCGTAGCTCGCTACCGCTTGCTTGCTGCTGAAATCGGGCGCGTTGTGGCCGAGGGCCGCTGTCTGGTTTAGCTCCTCGTCCTGCATGATCGGCTTGTATGACATGCGCTGCGCTGGCGGGCGTAGGAATAACTCCCCACGCCTTATCCTCCGACCCTGGCGATGACTGACGCGATGGAATGCATCCGCACATAGCCTGGCGCACTTGCTGCTCGAACAGTTCAGCGCTATCGAGCTCGTCGCAGTCAGTCTCCGACTGAGACTCGTCGGCCTCCGAGGCGACCCCTTGGTCGCAGCACTCGGGCGCAGCCAGCTTGGCGGCGCTGGCCACGGCTGTCTCAGCGTGGTAAGTCGCAAAAGGATGCAGCCTGATCTCGGTCTCGGCGTCCGAGACGCCCGACACGGGCTCGCAGCTCGGCGCAAAGCCTGCAATCTCGAGCGTCGGGCGCCTGGCGCAGCCCAGGCCCATCTGGACGCCGTGCTCGCTGACGGACTTGATGTCCAGCTTGTTGTCCCCCGCGCGGTAGACAATGCCCAATTCGCTCTGGGCCTGGCGGCTGAACAGCCCCGGCACGGCGCCGCGCACGATGCTCACGCGCACGGCGCAGGCCTTGCCATTCACCGCGCAGGGAATCAGCGTCGTCTTGAGGCTGCATTCAACCCTGGGCGCTCCGAAGCGGAACGGCTCCTTCTCCGGGCACTCGATCGGATGGACGTTGAAGGCCGCCAGCTTCTTCTTGACATCGTTGCACCAGCCCAGGCAGCCGACGCACCGCGAGCAGGCGGCGTCGAAAGTCAGCTTGCCGCCCGACTCATGGGGTAGGTCTTCGACGCTGGTGTAGATGAGCGCCGAAACCGTCGCGGCCATGAGGCACTGGTTGTCCTTGTTGATGTAGAACGAGGCGGCCGCCACCTCCTCGGGCACCTTGGCCCGCTGGCGCGGGCGCGCCCAGTCGACGTCGCGCAGCGCAAGGTGACCTTCCTCCGATCTCGCGCCGCTCTGGGCTGCTCGTGCTGGTAGACCGCCGCGACCGTCATCTCCGCGACGCGGGGCCCCTGCGCGTCGCCGGCCCCGTCGTTCGTAGTCACGTTCGTCTTGTAACTTCGCTTTCGTGGGATGTCGGCCCTCGCGTTGGGGCCGTTCTTCGGGGCGCTGCGGGTCGCCGCGCCAGCGGCCCTTCTGGCCACGCGTTCCACAGCGCGCCCTCTACTTCATCCCGGCGATCTTGGCGTCGCCCTTCTTCGGCGGGCGCCCGCCGCCTCGCTCGGCGAAGTAGACGCGCGCCTGCTTGGCCTCCTTTAGCTGGTCCTTGGCGCGCGCCATCTTCTTGGCGAAGAAAGCCACCTGCCCCTCCGCCTCGCCCATCACGTCCTGTAGCTCGTCCGGCAGGTCGTCGCCGTAGCCCCGGAGCTGTCGGTGGACGGGCCGTCGTTCTCGGCCTCGTCGCGGGCCTCCGTGGCGCGCACCTTCTCGTGGCCCTTTTTGCGACCTCCGTAGCCGCCTCTGTCGCTGCGCTGCTCCTCGCGGCCGTCCACGACCGATGCTTGGGGCAAATTGATCGCGAGCTGCCCCTGGATCTTCGTCGGATTGAAATTGCCGCCCACGCCGTTGAGCACGCTCGCCGCGCGCTCTGGTGGCAGGCGGGCGCCCTTGATGCACAGCTCGGCCAAGACCTCGCCGTGCACCTGTATGTCCTTAGCCCTCAGCTTCGTCGCAATGCCGTGGAAGCGACTGGTGAAATCGCGGATATCCTCGAACTTGCGCTGGATGCACGCCGGCTCCACGGATGTCTCCAGGAGCGCCGGCAACTCCAGCACCTCGATCTCGGGAAGGCGCTTCCCGAGATATTCCAAGAAAACCTCCACCGAGTCGTCGCCCTTGACGGCCTCCAGGCCGAGCTCCTCGCGCGCCTCCTCGGCCTTGCCCTTGAGGCTGGCCAAAAGCGTCGCGCCCTGCTTGGGCAGCTCGACCTCGGTGCCAATCTGCCAGGTGGCTACCTCCCGGCGGAACCTCTTCATCGTCTTGCTCGTGCCGTCGAAGACGGGTACGGGAATATTGCCCCCGCTGTTCTTGTCCTCGCCGCTGGCTGCAGCGGCTCCTCCAGCAGTCGCCACGGCGGCAACTCCGAACGAGAGGTATCAGTCGCAATCACGAGCTTGTGGTGTGTGCGCATTGACTCTGCGAGGTCGCGCACGCTGCGGTGGTCGAGTTAGCTCCGCTACCAATGTACACCAATACTGCGAAGCGGGGTCGTAGCGCAATGAGAACCGCGACGTTGTATGTCAGCAGTGATACAGCAATGATACTAATGTTATTCGCAATGGATGGCGAAACATGGTTGCTTAGCGGAACCTGCCAAGGCCCCGACCGACACGCCCAAGCTCAAGGGCCCTGAAGACGATTGAGCCCAAATGAGCACGGCAAAAGTCAGCACACTCTGCTTGTTTGCAGGCATGTTATGCTACACTGCCTACATATCAGCACGGGCACGAATTATTTCACAGGGGCGGTGCCGCCATGCGAACTTTGCCAGTGGGGACGTCGGTGGGGCCCCCTTATGGGGCCACGAAACGTGTGAAGGGGTGCACCGACATGGGGCGGGACCGCCATGCGAAACGCATGAGGGGTGTGCCGACATGGGGCGGGGCCGCCACTTTGCCACTGGGGCCTTCGGCGGGGCTCCCGATGGGGCCACGAAGCGCGTGAGGGGTGCGCCGACTGGGGCGGGGCCGCCGTGCGAACTTTGCCACCGGGGCCTTCGGTGGGGCCCCCTATTGGGCCACGAAGCGCGCGAGGGGTGCGCCGAAATGGAGCGGGGCCGCCATGCCTTTGCCACTGGGGTCTTCGGCTGAGCTCCCCACGAGGCCACAAACCGCGTGATGGGTGCGCCGAAATTGGGCGGGGCTACCATGCAAACTTTGCCACTGGGGCCTTCGGCGGGCTCCCTATGGGGTCACGAAGCGCGCAACGGGTGCGCAGAACTGGGGCGGGGCCGCCATGCGAATTTTGACACTGGGGCCTTCGGCGGGGCCCCTTATGGGGCCACGAAACGTGTGAGGGTGCGCCGAAATGGGGCAGGGCCGCCACGCTAACTTTCCCTCTGGGGCCTTCGGCGGAGCTCCCAATGGGACCACAGAACGCGCGAGGGGCGCGCCAAAATGGGCGCGGCGCGGGAGGGGGAAAGGAGGAGGGGGAGGAGGAGGAGGAGGACGAGGAGGAGGACGAGGAGGAGGAAGAAGAGGAGGAGGAGGACGACGACGACGAGGAGGTGGAGGAGGTGGGGGAGGAGAAGGAGGGGTGGGACGCCGGGCGCTGTCTCTTCAAAACGAGGCCCAACACCACATGACGCTGATGGGGGTATACATATATACATATATATTATCATACGCACCTCTCCGAGGGAGTAGAGCTCAGAGGGGATTAATGCGTCCGTGCGTGCGTCCGTCTTTGATTTTTCTGGCCGTTTCGCTCGGGACATTCTCGAAATTCTGAAAATCGGTGGCACCCCTCACGCAGATCGTGAAGGAGAGGTCCAAAAACACATAGGAATTTCAACATTTTAACAGACAACCTTCAAAAACACATGGTAATTTCAATAATTGTGACCCCGATTCTCAGAGAATGGCGGTTTCGCCTGAGACATCCTCCCAAAATCGAGCCCCAGACCCCTCCTCGGAGCCTCCTGGGGGCCTCCTGGAACCTCCTGGGGCCTCCTGGGGCTTTCTGGACCTTCTGGTACCCCAGACCCCGCCTCGGAGCCTCCTGGAGTTCTCCTGGGCCTGCTGAGGCCGCCTGGGGCCTCCTGGGGCCTCCTGGGGCTTCAGAACTACATGCACACACAGAGACACAAATCACGCCCAACACATCACACGCTAGACAAACATAACATACACACACACACACCGACAACACACAAAAAGCACGCACCACACAAAGCACACATCACACACACACACACTCACAATCCTGGGGCCTCCTGGAGCCTCTTCTGGTATCCAAGTCGGGCCTCCTGAGGCTTCCTGGGGGGCCCTGGTACACACATCGCAAGGTGTGGCAACCCCACTTGCGCTCGAGTGCGACTTCGCTGTTGCATGTCACTCCTGCTTCAAACGCCCCTTCAGCTTGTTGTATGAGCCTGGGCACACACGTGCCACTTGTATATATATACACATCTATACGACCACCCTTCGGGTGATAACGAGGTTCGGGGGGGGCCAACGTCTCACTCGATCTGCATCACGATCGATATCACTATCGATATCAGTACCGGTCTCGCTCAATCGATCTCATTCGAACGATCTCACAATCGATACCGCTCGATCGATTTCATTCGATCGATATCACAATCGATCTGATTATCGATACCACAATCGATATCGATATCGATATCACTGCCGATGTCACAATCGATCCCACAATCAACGTCATCATCATCATCAACAACAACAGCAGCATCGTCATAAACGTCATCAACGTCATGATCATCATCACCACCATCGGGATACACTTGTCATCATCACCCCATCACCATCATCATCAACGTGACCATCACCATCACCATCACCGGGACACCATCATCGTCACCATCATCATCATCATTAACATCATCATCAGCATCGGGCCACCATCACCACCATCAGCATCGGAACACCACCATCGCCACCATATCATCATCATCATCATCATCATCATCATCATCATCATCATCATCATCATCATCATCATCATCATCATCATCATCATCATGAACAACATCACCATCACCATCAGCATCATCACCCGCAACGTCATCATCAACATGATCATCATCGGAACACCATCATCATCGTCACCATCATCATCAGCACCATCATCATCACCCGGACACCGTCATCATCAATATCAGCCTCATCATCATCGGGCCACCATCATCGAAATCACAACCAGCAGCACCTCATCATTATCCTCATCATCAACATCATCATCATCGGGGCACCATCATCGTCATCACCATCAACATCATCATCATCATCATCATCGGGACACCATCATCATCAGCACCATCATCACCAACAGCATCATCATCAACCTCTGCATCACCATCATCATCGGGGCATCATCATCATCATCTTCATGCTCATCATCATCACCATCTCACCATTTCATCATCACCAATATCACCATGATCACCCACATCATCACCATCATCGGAACACCATCATCATCAGCACCATCAGCATCATCGACATCATCATCATCGACGGGACACCACCATCATCACCAACATGGCCATCACCATCACTACCATCATCATCAGCATCGTCAACATCATCATCATCATCGGGGCACCATCATCATCGCCACCACCACCATCAGCATCATCATCACCAACATCATCGACATCATCGTCATCATCATCATCAGCATCAGCGGGACACCGACGGGACACCGGCGGAACACCGGCGGGACACCACGCGGCACTGGCCCCCGGAAAAGAAACATTTGATCCGGCCGCTCCTCAGCCGGAGGAGGGACACCAGCGGGGCACCGCGCGGCACCGGCCCCCAGAAAGGAAACATTTGGTCAGGCCGCGCCTCAACCGGAGGAGACTTTCTTCTCGCCCGCCCGCGCAGCTTCGCCTCGCCCGCACGCACGGCACGCACGAACACGAAACCGAAACCGATTTCCCGGTAGGGGGGCTCTCCGTTCCACTTCGATTTCACCCCCTCCCCTCCGATACCTCTATATATATATATATATATATACATAGTATATCCATGTATATACATACATACATAGTACATATATATATATATATATATATATATGTGTGTGTGCGCGCGTGCATTCCTGCCCGCTCAAGCGCGCGCCGACGAGGGAACGAGGCAAAGGCGAAGACGAGGCCGAAGGGGGCGCAGCGACGAGCCCAAAGCGCAGAAACGACAAAGCGGAAGGACAGGAAACGAGAGGAGAGGCGACAGAGCGACGAAACAAGACGACACGAGGCAAAACGAGAAGAAAACAGCGGGTCCGCGGTCACACCTCACGTCTGGAGCAAAACTGGGACGAAGGAACAACATTCTCCTCAGAATGACGCCGCCGGAGTCACCACGAGGAACCACACGCCAACCATCACGAAGAAAAGGACCGCCAGCATCAACACTTCCTGCACGCATGCTGGATGCACGACCGCAGCGCGAGGGAACTCCTCGTGACCATCACGAGGCCCTCGTCAAAAATCGACTTTCACCGAAGAGGGCGAAACAGCACCCAACTGCAGATTTGAGGTCGAGAAAAATGAAGAAAGCGCCCGCGCCAATCCCATGATCAAGCATCACGACGCCAGCTCCACCATATGCACGAGAAACTGCGCGACGAAAGCTGCCCAAAAGTCACGCAGACTCCGATGAAAATGACGAAGAAAAGCCCAGAGACGCGGCCGCCGCCCTGCCGCCAGAGCTGCACGGCGAGGTCCGCGACCCAGAGCAGGCCATGCTGGACGAGGCAGCGAGGGGTCTAAAGTGCCCGGCCCAACCTCGGCTCGGCGGGGCACCCCCATGCGCCTCGCAACGACGCCCGCACAGCGCGAAAATATACAAATACTGGCCAGCCAGCCGCCCCAGCTCATGATCACGCCAAGCTGCCCCAGGCCCCGAGCCACAGGACTTGGCCAGATCCTGCGGCAGCCCGCTGTCCAAGCTCGGCCGCGGCCCCGTCGCTGGGGACTGCACTCCAGCCGCCGCCCTGAGCTGCTCCGCCGAGTGGGCCGCCCGCGCGTGCGCCAGCCCACGCAGCGCCGCCTCTCGGCAGCGGCCGGCAATGCCCCGCTGGTGATGCCCCTGCCCCTCGGCCTCGAGGTGAATGAGAACGTCGCCACGGGCCATGCCGCCCGCCGCCATGGCCCGCGCGCCCCCCCGCACCTCAATGCAGGCTGCGCTGCGCCGTGGGCAGACGGCCGCCGGAAGACCTCGTGGGTGTCGAGGTCGGTGGCGGAAGCGTCGAAGTCGATGGCGGAGACGAGGACGGCGGCGGAAACGAAGGCTCCGACAGCTCGTCGGGGCCGGGTGGGGCCCGCCAGGGCCCGAAGGAGACCGCT